TCTGCAACACACACAGGGGTAGTGCAGCCTGTTGTATGCAACCCACTCAACACGGGAAAACCACCGCCACTGAAGCGCCGTACCGCCAGCACGAGAGCCTACGAAGAGCGTGCTTGACTGTAGTTTTCACTACCGTAGACTTAGGTCAGGAGCAGAATGATAGAACCGCTCGGCTCCGAAGCGAAAAGCTGAATATGCGCTGCATCTGCTGCCTACTTATACTCACGCTGTGATCAGCAGCAGCTGGATGCAATAATCGCATGCCAATGTGCATTGGCTCGTTTAGTTTACACTCGAAGTAGATTGGTCTCTCTAAGCGAGATCCCAATTCGTCGGTCATCCGACGTGACGTCGAGAGTGACCGACTGAAAGGGAACATGTTATTAATGAAATACTTATTAATGTGCTTAAAGAAAATGACATTCAGTTGAAGCGTTTCTGAAAGTTTCTGATGAGTTCACACTGGGAGATGAAAAACAAAGTCTTTAACTTATTTTCTGGGCTGATATTATATTTTTCAATAATATAATATATTACAGTATATTATATTATTCCCTCTATAGGACTAATTGTGAATTTACAGCTTAAAAAATAATTGACTTTATATTTTACATATATTTAGGTGTAAAATCATTTTCCAACATTTTTTTTCTCAATCTGACCTTTGACCTTTTTTTTAGGGATCTGTCATTTATAACTGACGTTGTCCCATTCACACACAATCAAATGCTTTTTCACTATCTAAAAATAATGTTTAGATTTCTTGTGCTGCTATATTTGATTTGGAACTCGCCTGTGAAAATGTCTAAAACTTCACACAAATTCGGATGCAATTTCACTACCTGAAAACCATGTCTTAGTGTTTCAAAAGCATTAAAACAACTTTAGCATTGTGTTTCATCTTGGAATTTCAAATCAATTATCGTAGCACATGTGAAAATCAACAAAACTCTTCTTTTTCAGTGTACTCCACACATCCCACACATAAGTAGATGTTGACTTGTGCAGTCATCATTGGAACATCGCTGTCTGTCAGTATAGTAATGCCAATAGACATTGGCATCTTTCCTGACCTCTGGTTGTTGTATGGATCACATCTTTCAAACTGGCATACAATAATGTACCCAAATGCCTGACTTCCACAACAACCTATTCTTCATCACTGCCCTCACCCTCATTGCTTCTATCCTCCTTGGCCCTCAACAACTTTTTTTATTACTTACTGAAATAAGTACAGATTTGTCTCTCCATCTTCCAAAAATCTTACAAAAATGAACAAAAAAAACACATGCATAAAGGCTATTATACTGCCCACCAATGCTGGTCAATAGTGCCAGCTACACAAAATATGCATCACATAATAGGACTTTGTCAGTTATGCATGACGCTCAGATTTGTTGGTCTCGGAGTTGTTGTTTTTATAAAAGTGCATTAAAAAT